GGCACTGCCTCGTAACCCAGGGACAGATCCGCCCGTGGACGACGTGCTGGTGCAGGCGGCGGGCAGCGGCGTCGGTAGCATGGCCATCCAGATCGCCAAGATGATGGGCGCCCGCGTCATAACCACCGCCGGCATCCAGTGGAAGCTCGAAACCGCCCAGGAGTGGGGCGCCGACGAGGTCATCAACTACCGCGAGTCACCCAACTTCAGCGAACGCGTAAAGGATCTCACCGGCGGCCAGGGCGTGGACCTCGTGTTTGACTGCGTGGGAGCCGATGTCTGGGAGCAGAACCTGCTCTCCCTCAAGGCTGGCGGCCGCCTCGTCATCACCGGCGTCACCTCCGGCGCCCACGCCGACCTCAACCTGTCGCTGCTCCAGAGCAAGCCACTGCACCTCATTGGCAGCGGGGGACGCAGCAACCGCACCTTCGCCGATTTCATGAAAGTGGTGCGCAACGGCTCCCTCCGGGGCATCCCCGGCCGCGTCTTCCCCCTATTCGACGTCGGCTCCGCCCACCAGGCCATGCAGGACCGCGACTTCTACGGCAAAATCGTCGTCGAAAACTAGACGTTGGCACCTGGACAGCAGGTAGCGGTATTTCAATTTTAGTATGGGTTCCTGCTCAGCGCAGGGCCGGGTTGAACCCCGACCCTGCGCCGTGCCGGAAGAACGCTCCTGCACCGGACATCCCGTTCTTACCGCCGCCCGCGTGCCAGGTCGATTAAAAGCCCCCCAGTTGTCCCCCGGAGTCCCTCTGGCCGTCCTCCCGTGCTCAGCAGAGAATCCCATCCATGCGGGAGAGATCTCTGGCCGCCGCAGAAACGCCGGTTGAAGGACCAGGGCCACTGACAACAGGGCAATCGCGTCTTAAATGCCGAAGGTCCTATAAGTCGTCTTTCCCGCGAAAGCGGGAATCCAAACCCCCATCTACCCTCGCACCTGGAACCGAAGGAGGCACTGCCACTCCCATATCCACCGACATTCAAACCAATTTTGTGTGCTGAGTAATAAGACGCGATCGTCCTGCCACTGACAATTGCCTATAGCCAAGCCTCCTTGCACCCGCTTATAATCATTCATGCGAACTTTTATTCTGTATCGGCAAGTAGGTGGGCTATCATCCACCCTTTGACCCCCAAACGCGGCACAGCGCCTAGGGACAGCCGACGCAGAATCTCAGGACCATCGATCCAGTGGTGGTAAATGAGCGGAAATGAGCGGAAAACCAGAATAATATCCTCTCGTGACAGGTGGTATTCTCTCTGTCGCGCCCTCGGTAGACGGCCTCTTCCATGATCAAAATTGCGGACTTTCGCACAGTTCTAAGGGACTTCTCTCTCAGCGCTTGGAGCCACTTCCCCGTCCCTCGGTGCCAGACGAAGACCGGATGGGACGAAATGGGACGGGAATCGAGATTTTTGGCCAATTTGGGCAAAGTCCAGATACGACGGAACGTAAATTTGGGACAAAATGGGACACGAGTGGGAAATTTCAGTCCCATCGGGACACTTGGTCGCGCTCCGCAGGTCTGCCCCTCCAGGATAGCTGGAAAGATTTACCGTCCAGCCACGGATTCTTTTCAGCCAAATGCGATAGCCCCGCTGCCTCGCATCACTCTTGGTAGCCAACCGATGCCCCGCGCGTTAAAATTGTTCGGCATTCGAAACGTATAAACCGGCTTTGCCGAACAAAAAATCCTGTCCAGATTCGCTAGGAGAAATCGATGAAAATCGCCAGGTATGAAGCCCACGGAACTGTCCACTTCGGTGTCGTGGATGGCGGCAACGTCGCCGCCATCGACGGCAGCCCCTTTGGGGATTTCACGGTGACCGACCACGTCCACAAGCTCTCCGACGTCAAGCTGCTGGCTCCAGTCGTCCCGGGCAAGATCCTCGCCATGGGGCTGAACTACACCAGCCACATCGGCGATCGCCCTGGTCCGGAGTACCCTATGGTCTTCCACAAGACCCCCACCAGCGTCATCGGCCCCGAGGACTCCATCATCCGCCCCAAGGAAGTCCAGCGGTTCGATGCCGAGGGCGAGATGGTCGTTGTTATCAAGGACGACTGCCGCTACGTCTCCAAGGAAGACGCCCTTAACCACGTCCTTGGCTACACTTGCGGCAACGACGTCAGCGCCCGCGACTGGCAGCGCAAGGACCGCAACGAGAACAACTCCGACTGGTGGCGCGCCAAGTCCGCCGACACCTTCTCGCCCATGGGCCCCTGGATCGACACCGACGCCAACCCAGCCGACCAGTGGCTGCAGACCCGCGTCAACGGCAACGTCGAGCAGGACCAGAGCACCAGCGACCTGATCTTCGACGTGCCCACCATGATTGAGTTCATCACCAAGTACGTCACCCTGAACGCTGGCGACTGAATCTTCACCGGCACCCCCGGCTCCACCCAGGACATGGCCCCCGGCGCCGTCTGCGAGATCGACATCAGCGGCATCGGCGTCCTGCGCAACCCCGTAAAGCTGGAGGCCTAACAGCCCTTGCCGTTCCGCCCAGTAAAATAGCTGGAGAAACCAAGGTGGGGGCAGCAGTGCCCCCACCTGCTTTCCGAACCGTTCGCCGGCGCGGAGAATGGGTACGGTTCCAAATTGAGAGTACGAAGACAGTAGGGGCGGGTTTGAAACCCGCCCCATTCGCACAACAGGGTGATCTATCCGGACCAGACCACTCGACCCGGAGATCCCTCACGGAGCATGCTGTTATTTGACCACGCGGAGCGTGTAGGCGTCCCCCTCCATGATTTCCGGGATCTTCGGCCCCAGGTTCCGGAAGTCGTCTGCGGCCGCCGAGATAATCCTGCCCGTCAGCGGTCCGCTCTCGCCGGACGCCAGCCACACGGCCAACTCAGAGCAATCGTCGATCGGGGCGCCCCCGCCCGACAGCACCCTCTGCCCCAGCTCGTGGATGAATTCGGCCCCGGCCTCGGCAGCCTGTTCCGTCATCTTCTCCCACATGCCCGTGTGTACCGACCCAGGCCCGAGAGCGTTGACCGTGATCCCCTTGCCGTCCAGTTCCTGCGCCAGCACCTCGGTCATCCGCACTACCGCGGCCTTGCTGGAGCAGTAGGCCGACATGTTGCTCCAGGCATTGGCCACACCAGCGCCGGACAGGTTGATGATCTTGCCTCCACCCTGCGCCAGCATCACGGGGATCACGGCCCGGCAGACCAGGAAGGTACCGGTCAGGTTGACGTTGATCGTGTCCACCCACTCAGCGATGTCGTTGTCCTGCAGCGAGCCGATGGGTCCGGATGTCCCGGCGTTGTTGACCAGGATATCGATGCGCCCGAACCGCTCCACAGTCCTCCGTGCCAGGCGTTCGGTGCCCATCTGGCTGGTGACGTCAGTGCGGATGGCCACGGCCTCACCGCCAATGTCCGCCACGGCTGCGACGCTATCATCCAGATCGGCCTCGCCGCGCGCCGCCAGCACCAGCTTGGCCCCCTCTCTGGCATACGCCAGGGCAATGGCCCGCCCAATGCCGCGACCCGCCCCGGTGATTACTGCCACCTGCCCTTCCAGCTTCATCGTAAGCCCTCGTCAAGCATCAAGGTTGTCTCCGCCACGGGTGTGCGAGCCTCTCCTGCCGGTCCTCGGGTGGCCAGACTATGACCTTGCGGCCCTTTCGCCACTGCACCAGCAGCGACGGCTTCCCGACCTGCCGGCCGTCTCCGCATCGATTCGGAACCGTCCGTAGAACGTGGTGAAGTCCAGAGAAGCGGCTGCCTCTCGCAATGCCCCATCTTCCAGGCTGCCGCTCTCTTCAATGCACCGCTGTATCACCACGCCGACAGCGTAGGCCTGAGCCATAGGATAGTCAATGACGGGATGCCCTGACCGTTTCAGGGAGGCTCGCACAGTTCCTCTACGCTGGGGCCGAAGTCCACCGCATACCCGGCCGACGGTTCCCACTGGCTGGGCCCGATGAAGCCCTCGGCCCTATCGCCCAGGCGTTCCCGGAAGGCGTCAACACCGGCAGCCACTACGGCCACCGCGCCAACATTCGGTGCAGCCTCGGCCAGTAGTTCCGCCAGCGCCAGGTCGTTCTGAAACCGGCCAACGACCACCAGCACTTCAGGGGCGGCACTGCGGACGGCGTCGATGAGGCCGCCGGAATCCTCGCCCTCCGGGTCGAACGACTGCGACAGCACCACGCGAATCCCCAACTCGCGGGCCGACCGCTCCACCCCGGAGGCAACGTCTCGTGGAAAGGCCCCGGTCGACGCTCGCAGGATGCCGACAGTGGAGATGTTTGGGGCCACTTCCCGCACCGCCGGCAGCAGCCCCGTCAGGTAATCATCAGCGGGGGTAAGCACCCCTACAACCCAGGGGTTGCCCTGCTGAAATACCTGCGGCGATGCACCACCCTGGTTCCACAGCAGCTTGCCGTGAGCTCGGGCGACCTCAGCGGCAGCGTTGGTTAGGACCGCGGAATACGGGCCGACCAGCAGGTCAACCCGGCTCTCAAGAATCAACTGCTCAGCAATGCCGCGAACGGACTCCCGCCGGCTCTTGTCGTCGTGCCAGATCAGTTCTAAGCGGCGCCGCGAGCAACCTACCGTCAGTCCGCCCATCGCGTTCAGTTCATCGGCCCAGGCCCGAATGCCAGCCAGCGTCTGCGAACCCTGCAGACTGAACTGACCAGTGAGCGACACTGGAATTCCGACTCTGATCGTCATTGGCTAATCGAGACGTGAGCAAGAAGAAGCCCGTTCATCCTTTGCTGGGCACTGGACGAACGGGCTTACCAACCGGTTTGGAATCGTTTCGTTTAAGAACGGGAGCGGAACAGACCAAAGGAACTGGTGTACCCGTGGAGGAACGTTGTTCCGCCAACAGGGCCAATCTCCCCATTGCAGAAGAATCCTCCCAGCGGCACCTGTCCCAGCTTCTCTTGGAATATTTCCGTATCGTGGTTGGGACGCCCGTAGAGGTACTGACCACGACCAAGGCAAGAGAACAGGAGCGCACCAGGCACCTCGTTTTCCCGGTTGTCGGCGGCATAGCGCTCCAAAACGAACGTCAGGTCCTCTGCCGAGGTATCAGCGTCCCGAAGGTGGAACTGGACCACCTGCCCCTCCTTCAGCATCTCGCCGATGGCCAGGCTCCCGGTTTTCTGGTCCATGCCAACCACGTTCCGTATCAGGAAATCTCCCTGCACCGGGGTGTCCAAGAACTCGTCCATCACGACGCCAAGGAACAGGGAGTGCCCCATCAGCTGGCGATCGCGTTCTGACAGAGTGCGGAACAGGTCTTGCAGCACCGCCATTGGAGCCTTGCCGTCCAGCTCCGCAAGGACGTTGCGATGGCTGGAAGTGATACGCATGGCCTCGCCTATCGGTCTGCAGCCCTGCGCCACCACGGTGTCGACCGTTATGTTCCCATGCAGCGCCAGGCCAATAGCCCCCGAACCATGCATCTGGCCGTCCAGAAACAACGCGTTGTCGCCAGGGCGCTGGGCCCCACTGGCAAAGGCCACCGATCTTGGCCGCTCGCGGATAGGCGAAATCCAAGCCCATTATCAGGTTCTGCACCGGGAAGGAAAACGGGTCAGCCAGCAGCACGAATTGCGGGTCCTGGGAGTCCATCACTCCCAGCAGTTCGGTCCATTTGTCCGGCCCGGCATCAAGATCCGGCAGCTTGTCCCCTTCGAGATGGAACGCCTCGATCTCCACTCCAGGGAGAGTGGCTGCGGTGACAGACACTGCAGGACGCTGCTCGACCTCCACCCCGGCTCCGATGATCCCTCCGCCCGAGCAGCCGAACGCGTGCTCTGCCCCGAGCGGCTCACTCAGCAGGGGACCAACCCGCCCGTAGTCAGGCTGGTAGTGGGGCGACACGAACGCAACGGCAAGCTGCGGCGCTTCTCCCAATTGCTCCCGGATTGACGCGGCGCAACCAGCCAGCGCAGCCTCCAGGTTGGATTCCTCAGATATGGCCGATGCCCATTTCATCAGGCACCTCCTGTCCATGGCAGTGTGGTTAGGCGCCAGTATAGCACCCCCTTGGAACGACGGACGTTGACGCCTTGGATGCACCCATCTAGGATTGCCAGACAGTGCGCCCGGACAATTGCGTACAGGGGGCGTCATTAAAGGAACTCATATGACTCAAAGACAGATGTCCGACGAGGACTTGGTGAGGGAACTTGCCAGGCTCTCCGGCATCCCCATCCCCGAGGAGGAGGTGGCTGAGGTCGCCAACCGCTTCGAGAGCCTGATGCTGGAACTGGATCGGCTTAGCGACCTCGACCTTTCCGACATTCAGCCCGTCTCTGTATTCCCGGACGAGGACTGATCCCGTTCCGATATCGTCTGCATCGAGGATAATCAATGGACAGCAAAGAGATAGTATTCCTGTCGGCGGCCGCCACGGCAAAGGCGGTGCGCTCTGGCCAACTTTCGCCTGAGGATGCCGTTCAGGCATACCTCGACCGGATAGACCAGCTGGACTCGCGCCTTGCCGCCTATATCACAGTTACCCGAGAGGAAGCACTGGGTGCCGCCAGACAGGTCGAGTGGAGGCTGGAGTCTGAGGGCGATCCCGGCCCGCTGGCCGGTGTCCCGATGGCCATCAAGGACCAGTTCTGGACCGAGGGCATCCTTACCACCAACGGCTCGCGGGTCTACCGGGATTTCGTGCCCACCGAGGACGCCACCATCGTCAGGAAACTGAAGGAAGCCGGCGCGACGCTGCTGGGCAAACTTAATCTGAGCGAGCTTGCCATGGGCGGGACTCAGAATCCGCCCTGGGGCATACCGGCCAACCCGTGGGATTTCGATCGAACCCCGGGGGAGTCCAGCAGCGGGTCCGGAGTCGCGCTCTCGGCTCACCTCTGCGCCGCCTCAATCGGCGAAGCTCTCCTCTCGGTCGGGCTGTGAGAAACCAACAAAGCACTTTCACCCAGACCCTTGTCTATTTTTCTTGCGTCTACGCCTTTAATTCAAACTGACTTTCTTCCCTGTTCCCCCCCTTTCCCAGTTCGTCTTCTTCGTATCCCACTAACCGAATTCCTCGTACACCTTCATCCCCTCAACTAGTACCCCATTGCCTTCTAGTGTTCTGTTGAACCTTATTTCCCCTACTCTCTCCCATCCCTGCTTCACCATGCTAAGTCTTATTCTCTTTGCGCCTAACAAAGAAAACTTAGCCTGCTATGGAAAACTCTACTTTCTTCCTCTTTGTCACCTCCATCCTCCTCGTTACCCCCTCACCCTACCTCCACGGTACCTCCCATTTGCCCCACGACTTCCCCCTTCAACGTCTTCCCCTCTCCATTCCTCTTTCCCCTTTCGTTTCAATGACAATACATCAACATCATAACTTGCCTATGTTCTCCTGCGTCTCAATATCCTATATGCTCCTCTCGCCACGTCTAATGCACACAAAACTCACATCCGATCCTAAAAACATTGATAAAATACCAATCACAAACATACATCAGCTTCCCACTCGTTTCCACGCTAGTATGTTTCAATCGTCCTCTATTCCATTTTATCGAGCTCCCAACTTCTTCGCCTCTGCTATACGTACCCTCCCCCCGCCATTATCATATGTCCCGCTTTCACCGTCTACGATTTTTTGTCTTTTCTCCTGCCAGCTTTTATACGCGACGTACTTTGTATTTTTTCGTCCATACCCCTGGAGCTCGCTCCGGCCCTTTAATTATTCTATCATTTGCCCTTCTTTCGCTTTCGCCCCCTTCCTTTCTTTTACTATATATCCCGGTTTTCGCGGTGCCGCTGATTGTCTTCCCATCCGTTAACCAATCTCTCCCCCCCTCCCCCACTCTCCCCGCTTGTTCCACGAACTTTTACGTTTGCGCTTAGTCTTGTGTGGTCTTGCTCTACGGACCCTAATTTTAGTCTTGTACATTTCCCTTATACCTCGACCCCTCTAGTCCCCCCATTATTTATAGGCTCTCTCCCCCAGAACGCTTTCTCTACACCGGGCTTCCGGTTCCCGCTATAGGCATTCTCCCCCCCGTTGTCTCTCGTTCGCTACCCTTCTACACATTTACTGCTATTTCCTGCAGAGAAAAAAAAAAATCCTCCTTGCTCTCATCATCCGTACTTTTGCTCCCCACTCATCCTTCCAGTTCCATTCACCCTCCACTTAAACAACTATTTTAATTACCTTCCGCTCTATATCCCCAGCCAGAACTCTTGCTCAATAGTCTGTACCATGTTCACCCCCATCCCTCTTTCTAAAAACAAAAAAACACTAACGATCTTCTGTCACCCCCTCTTTCATTCTAGACAATCTCCCTTTCGTTGTTGGCAGAACGTGTGCATCCCCAGTTTTAACACCCCCCCCACCCCTGCGCCTGTTACCGAAAACACGCTCCTTCCTTTAAGTCACTTAACGCCCACCCCCTCACGTATTACCCCCACCCCCCCCATGTTTCGCTTCCGTCAATCCCCCCCACCAAAACCGCTGGCGGCCTCGGGCCGTGGCCAGCGGACTCCTGCGGCGTGGTGGGGGGGGGGGGGGGGGGGGGGGGGGCGTGAGCCCACTTCACCAGGGTCAGTCGATATGGAATGACTCACATGTGCTGGTTCATGGACGCTGCGGCGCCAATGACCAAGACGGTGGAGGACTGCGCCATTGTGCTGGGAGCCATCGCTGGTTATGACGAGCGGGATCCATACACTAGCCGCCGCCCTGTCCCCAACTACACCGAAGCTCTTGGCAAGGGAGTTGAGGGCCTGCGAGTGGGTCTCATACGCGAGCTGCACCAAAGCCCGGATATGCACCCAGAGGTCCGCGAGAGTATGGAATTCGCGTTGGACGTGTTTCGGGGTTTGGGCGCAGAGATTAAGGAAGTCTCGATTCCCCTGGTGGAGTTAGCCGGCGCCATTTTCGTCGGAGTGGCCGACACCGAGGGAGCAGGTGCCAGGGACGAGATTCTTCGAACGCGCGCTGACGAATTGGACCCGGCCAGCCGCACCCGCCTGCTTTCCGCGTCGCTGGTGCCGTTCAAGGTGTATAACCGCGCCGCGAAGGCCCGGGTCCTGCTTCGCCGGCAGTTCATGGCTGCCCTTGAGGATGTCGACGTCCTGGTCTCACCAACGTCTCCGTATCCCGCACCGCTGCACAAGGACCTGACAGCGCGGTTCGAGAGCGCCGATGACGTACGGCGGCGTTTCTTCTTCCGGCGCGCCTATACTGGGTGTTATTCGCTTACAGCCTTGCCCGCCATTTCCATACCCGGTGGGTTCACCAGCGACGGCCTTCCCATTGGCCTGCAGTTGGGAGCGAGGCCCTTCGCGGAGGAAACCCTGTTTCAGGCCGCCAACGCCTACGAGCAGACCACCACTTGGCACACCCGGATCGCCCCTGCTGCTCAAGCCTAGATCTAAAGGAGTTGCCAGAATGACCGACAAGATTCGCGTGGGTATCATCGGGGCCAACGCCAACTACGGCTGGAGCAAGCGGGCCCACCTGCCGGCGCTCTTGGGGATGGACGACTTCGAGTTGACCGCCGTCTGCACTTCCCGCCCCGAAACTGCCGAGGAATCAAAGGCTTTCTACGGAGCGAAACTGGCCTTCCACGACTACACGGAAATGGCCAACCATCCCGATGTCGACCTCGTGGTGGTCTCGGTGAGCGTACCGGCACACCACGGCATGGTCACCGCGGGCCTGAACGCTGGCAAGCACGTCTTCTGCGAATGGCCTCTGGGTGCCAACACCGACGAAGCGGTCGAACTCACCAGCCTCGCCCACGACAAGGGAGTCCGCACGCTCATCGGCCTGCAAGCCCGCGCGGCCCCGGACTGCTGCGCCTCAGGGAACTCGTGGCGGAAGGCTACGTGGGCGAGATGCTTTCCTGCAACATGACCATGTTCCTGCCGGGACTGATGGGAAGGGGTGCCGACCGAGCGTGGATGGCCGACCGGGCCAATGGCGCGAACAGCTTGAGCATCGCTTCAGGCCACGCCCTGGATATCTTCTGCTACTGCGTCGGCGAGTTCCGTGAGCTTTCAGCTCAGGTCAGCGTGCAGCTTGCCCAGTGGCATACCACTGACGGCAAATCCGTTTCCGTGAACGCACCCGACAACGTAATAGTGAGCGGCGTTCTGGATAACGGCGCGGCTGCCTCTGCCCACATCGCCACCATTCCCTGGGTCGGCAGCGGCTGGCGGATGGAGGTCTACGGCACCGAGGGAACATTGTCTGCCAGCTCCGAGGAAATGGTGCAATACGGCAACGTCAGTCTCTTTGGCGCTCAAGGCTCGGGGCAGGCCCTTCAGCCATTGGATGTCCCGGCCCGGCTTGCATCCGCACCAGGTTCTGTCCCGGCCGGTGCGCCCTACAACGTTGCCCAACTTTATCGCATCGTTGGAGACGCAATTCACAACGGCGGAGACGCGCAACCAGACTTCGACACAGCGGTCGAGCGCCACCGGTTCCTGGACCTGTTACAACAGTCCTCAGACGAGGGACGTAGAGTAGTCGTGAAAGCCTAGCTTTCATGGCCCACGCGCTGTCATCTGGCTTTCCGTAGTGAGGTTCAGGGAGGTCACGACCAGCCGTCCCGTCCTGCTCCCGTGATGGTAGAATAGAGGTTGTCTCGTCGACGTCGCCTTGAGCTTGAATCGAGGAGCGTTCGCAATTCTTGGAAGGAAACCAACTGGCTCGCCTTCTAATTAATATGGCACTGAACCGATTGATCAGCGACCGCGCCCGCGATTGGGGCCGGCTTCCTTTCCGAAACGGCCACAAGGCCTTGGAATCAGGTCCGCGGATCACTGTAATCGGGGGCGGCACCGGGTTGCCCAGCCTGATCCGCGGCATCAAGTATTATTCCCACAACATCACGGCTATCGTTACCATGGCCGACGACGGGGGCAGTTCCGGCCGCCTGCGCAGCGAACTCGGCATCCAGCCCCCCGGCGACATCCGCAACTGCCTGGTCGCCCTCGCTGACTCCGAGGATGTGATGCAGAAGCTGATGGACTACCGCTTCTCGTCCGACGGACAACTGAACGGCCACAGTTTCGGCAACATGCTAATCGCTGCCCTGGCGGAGATTGGTGGCGACTTTTCCCGTGCGGTGGAAATCGCCGGAGAGTTGCTGGCCATCCGGGGACGGGTTATTCCATCTACGACCACCGACGTCACCCTGATCGCACCACAGAGGCGGGGGAAACCCTGACCGGCGAGAGCAACGTGGCCCGGGCGTCGGGGCGCATTACGTCCCTGTCCCTGTGTCCTCCAAATCCGCAGGCGCATCCCGAGGCCGTGGCGGCACTGAAGGACGCGGACCTTGTAATTATCGGACCAGGGAGCCTCTACACCAGCATTGTCCCGAACCTGCTGATCCCGGGAATTGCCAACGCGGTGGCAGAGTCGAAGGCCCTGAAAGTGTACGTCTGCAATGTGGCGGAGGAACCCAGCAGACCGTGGGGTATTCCGTTCAGGATCACGCAGACGTCGTGCGACGCTACACCGGGCCGGAGTCCCTGCACGCGGTGATTGCCAACAGCAACATTCCCGACGCCCCCACCCCGGCGGGTCTGGATTTCATCAAACCGGAAAGGCCCTGGAATGACGGGACTCTGCTGATTGAGGCAGACATCTTGGACCAGGAGGCCACGGCAAGGCACGACCCCAGGAAGTTGGCCCTGACGGTGGCAGAGACGTATCGCCGCCACCGGGGAAAACGGCGGCGTCTTCCCCGGGCGACGCCCACATCTGCCGTTTATGGGACAGGAGAGCGGAGCCTGCAGTCCCAGGCCCTCTGCGGAGACTAACCCACTGCCTTTTCTGTACTGTTTGCCAGATCAGCCACTGCGTGGCCCTGCGTAAAAGGCGCCCAACCAGGCGCAACCTGCCTCCTTCCAGCGCCCCGCAACGCCGCCATCGGACTATAATTAAGTCAATCACTATCACCGGAGTTTGCCGGTATGGAACACATCAGTCCCGGCGAGCGCGCCGCAGAACTGCGCCGCGAGCTCAACTACCACGGCTATCGCTATTACACCCTCGACGACCCAGTGATCGGCGACGGTCAGTATGACTCACTGATACGGGAACTTCGAGAAATCGAGACGGCTTACCCTGAACTGCTAACACCTGATTCGCCCACGCAAAGAGTGGGAGGGGATCCTTCACCAGCCTTCGATGAAGTTGAACACTCCCGCCCCATGCTCAGCCTGGGAAACGCCTTCGACTTCAACGAGCTAGCCGCATGGCACAGGCGCATAACCGGCTTGCTGGACGGAGCATCCTTCGACATGGTCTGCGAGCTGAAGATCGACGGTCTCGCGGTAAACCTCACCTACCAGGACGGCATCCTGGCTCAGGGCGCCACCAGGGGTAACGGCACCACGGGCGAGGATGTGACCCGCAATCTGCGGACCATAAAGACCATCCCCATTTCCCTGCTGCGGGGCGCTCCGGAACACCTCGAAGTCCGGGGAGAGGTCTTCCTGCCAATCGCCGAGTTTCAGCGATTGAACGAGGAGAGGGCCGAGCGGGGCGATCCGCTGTATGCCAACCCGCGCAATACCGGCGCAGGCAGCATCCGGCAGCTGGACCCAAAGGTTACCGCAGCCCGAAACATGGAAATCTGGGTCTACGCTCTTGGCGATCCCAACGCACCGGAAGTTCCCAGGGACCACTGGGCCGCACTCGACTGGCTCCACGGCTTGGGCTTTCGCATCAACCCGGAGAACCGCCCGTGCCGCACACTGGACGAGGTGCAGGACTACTACCAGTCCTGGCTGGAGCGACGACACGACCTGCCCTACGAGGCGGATGGAGTTGTAGTCAAGGTCTCCTCCCTGGACATGCAGGACCAGCTGGGGGTAGTGGGCCGTGAACCTCGCTGGGCCATAGCCTACAAGTTCCCGGCGGAACAGGCAGTAACTAAACTCCTTCACATCGGTATCAATGTGGGCCGGACCGGCAGCCTCAACCCCTACGCCGTGCTGGAGCCGGTAGTGGTCAGCGGCGCGACGGTGCAGCACGCCTCGCTGCATAACGAGGAGGATATACACCGCAAGGACATCCGCGTAGGCGACACGGTCATAGTGGAACGGGCAGGCGAGGTCATACCTCAGGTGGTTTAGCCCAGTCCTAGCCGACCGCACTGGAAACGAGCAGATCTTCCTCATGCCGGAGCGCTGTCCTGAGTGTGACACCCCGGTCGTAAAGAACGAAGATGACGCCATGCACCGCTGCCCCAACCCGTCCTGCCCAGCGCAATTCTTCGAGTTGCTGAAACACTTCGTCAGCAAGGGCGCTGCAGACATTGACGGACTCGGGGAACGATGGTGCGGCATCCTGATCGACCAAGGAATGGTCTCCGATGTAGCCGACCTGTACAGGCAGGAAAAAGACCGGCTATTGAAGCTGGAACGAATGGGAGACAAGCTGGCTACGCGAATTATCGACAACATCGAAGCCAGCAAGAACCGTCCTCTGGCCCGCATGCTCTTCGCGTTGGGCATCACCCACGTCGGCTCTGAGGTAGCGGACCTGCTTTCCCAGAACTACCTGGGAGTCACCGAGTTATCCAATACAACCGAGGAAGACCTGACCGAAATCGAAGGCATCGGCCCCAAGATTGCAGAAAGCATTTTGGCCTGGTTCCGCGCACCGGCCAACCGCCGGGTAATCGAGAAGCTGCGCTCCTCAGGTGTCCGTATGGAGCAGGACACACTGCCGACCACGGTGGTAGCGGCTTCAGGAGCCGCGCCCTTCGCGGGGATGACCTTCGTGGTTACAGGAACTTTGTCTGCGTTCTCTCGCAGCGAGGCTGAAGGGCGCATCAAGGGCTTGGGAGGCAAAGTAACATCATCGGTGACCAAGAAGACCAGCTATGTCGTGGTTGGCGAGTCTCCCGGCTCAAAGGTGGCCAACGCGGAGAAACTGGGCACTCCAATTCTGGACGAAGAAGGGTTCCTGCACCTGCTGGAATCGCCGGATTCCGTCCTGACAGCGGAGCAGCAGGGCACCCTTGTCTGACACCGCGATAATCGTCGGCCTCGGCAACCCCGGACCGCGCTACGCCGACACCCGGCACAATGTTGGCTGGAAGGCTTTGGACTTGGTGGCGGAGCAGCTGAGAATCCCTCTGAACGAACGCCGCCCCAAGGCTGTGCTCGGCATCGGCTACCGCGCCGACCGGCGGGTGGTTCTGGCCAAGCCTCGCACCTTCATGAACAACAGTGGCGAGGCGGTGGAATACCTGCTTGCCAGGTTCGGGGGGGGCGGAGGCAATCTGCTGGTCATCTATGACGAGATGGCCTTGCTGCCTGGCCGGATACGCCTGCGCGCCGCCGGTAGCGACGCTGGCCACAACGGGATACGGTCGATCATTCAAGCAATCGGGGGCACCGGGTTTCCCAGGCTTCGAGTGGGCATAGGCGCCCCACCGGCTGGGCTTGTGGCCCGCGAGTATGTGCTGGGCAAGTTCGACGAAAAGGATTCAGAGGCCATCGCGGAGGCCGTTGAACGTGCGGCGGCAGCAGTCCTGTGTCTGCTGGACGAAAACATCGATGCAGCCATGAACAAGTTCAACCAGGACCCCAACGCCGCACCGGATTCGCCCGGGCCACCGCCCGATTCCCGACCAGAGAGGGCCTCCCCCCAGGACCCGGGCGTCGGGCGCCGCCCCGTGTCTCCCGATGTCCCGAACTCAGCCCAGAGCAATGAACAACCCGGCAGCAACCACACAAGCCAGTGACATCAGGAACGGCAGGCAACCGAACCGCCTTCCTCCTCCGCCTCCCCTGCGACCTCGCCGGTTGCGCCTTTGCGTGCATTCCACGCAGGTGCATGCCGGTGGGTGCGTTCCCCGCAGCCGGTTCACGTCATAAGACATACCAAAGACTCGCATGCATACGGTTCGGCCTCGCAACCGTACTGGTCTCATCATGATGCCAGAGGCACACCGGCTTGTCTCGCCCTCAGACGAGGCAACATCGAGGCTTCACCGCTTTGGGATCCGCATTGCGGTTCTGGTGTCTGGAACGCTGGCGCTGGGGGCGCTCCTGCTCATCGCCCTGGGCGCATGCGGCGGCGAATCGCCAGGGACTGCCGACCCCAGCAACCGACCCAAAACAAGGCAGAGCGCGACCTCCACCAGCACCACGCCCGCTGCGCCGTCAGCCCTGTCTACTCCTCATACTACGGCACCCGAGCCAGCATCCGTGCCAGCGTGGACTATCGTACCGGAGCCGACCCAAGCAATGGCTACGCCGCCAGGAACGCCGGCGAAAGGGAACGTATCCACAGCAGCGAACGGTTTCCCAGTGCCTCCCGACAGGGATTTCTATCACTTGGCCCGCCAACTGATCCCCGGTGCCGAGGATGCTGCGCCGATGGCCAAGCAGAATTCCACAACGCTCGACGTGGGTCATCGCGAGACATTCAAACTGGTCGATCTGGAATCGAGGGTTCTGTACGAGAGCGAATTCGAGCTGCGGCACGTAAGTCCACACGCCTACTGGTTCATCGAGGATGGCATTCAGGTGGACCAGGATGACATCGAGCGTTCGGCAGAGGAGTTCGAAGACAATGTATACCCGAGCGTAACGAACGCGTTTGGTCAGGAATGGAATCCGGGAGTGGATGGGGATCCGCATCTCTACGTCATCAGCGCACGACTTCGAGGGGTGGGAGGGTACTTCAGCGCCGCCGACGAATACCCCCGGGAGGTCCGTCCCGTAAGCAACGAGATTGAGGCCATTTATGTGAATGCCAGGTACCTGCCAATTGGGTCGGATATCTTCTCCCAGGTTCTGGCCCATGAGCTACAGCACGCTGTCCACTGGAACCACGACCTGTCAGAGGAAACGTGGGTCAATGAGGGACTGTCGGAGCTGGCCATCACCGTCGCCGGGTATCCCGAACTGAGTATCCTTGAGTTTCGACGGGCGGGACCGGCTTCCCTGACCATCTGGCCGGCTGATGACGTGGGTGGCGCGGAGAGCTACGGAGCGGCATCTCTCTTCATGCGTTATCTCACCGATCACTATGGAGGTCGCGATGACCTCAGGCCGCTGTTGGCCCAAAAGGCCGACGGCATCCAGGGCATTGACGCATTCCTGCAGGCTGAAGGTCACAACGTGACCTTCGCTGAGGTGTTTCGAGACTGGGCCGTAGCCAACGTCCTGGACGAAGATCAAAGTCGCTACGGCTATTCGGATCTGGATATACGGTTCCCTGTATATGAGAATCTGAAGAACGAGATGGATCTTTCTCTCGTGACCCCTCAGTTCGCGAACGAATATGTGCGGCTCGAGCAGACTGGCGATTCGACTCTTTTGACCTTCAATGGGGAGAGCGGAGTCTCTCTGCTACCCGTGGAGGTCGAAGATGGCTGCTGGTGGAGCAACAAGGGCGATGTCATAGACTCTACGCTCTCTGCCAACCTGGACCTGCGAAGAGTCGATAGCCCGTCCCTGCACTACGAGGTATGGTATTCAATCGAGGAGAACTGGGACTTCGCTTATCTCGAGGCATCTGTAGACGGAGGCAGCACCTGGGCAATCCTGGAAACGCCTTTGACCAGCAGCGAGGATCCCCTGCGCGTTTCCTTCGGACCCGGTTACACCGGCGCCAGCGACGGATGGCAAAAGGAATCCGTGTCGCTGGAGAGGTGGGCGGGCCAGGAGATCCAGATGAGGTTTCAGTACATCACTGACGCGGCAATCCACGACCATGGGCTCTGCGTACGCGACATTCGTGTAATGGCAGCTGACGGCCACGTTGAACTCAATGCGGAATGGATGTCGAACGGTTTCGCTTGGACAAACAACTTGGTACGCCAGAGTTTCATGGTCCAATTGGTTTACGAGGGCAGGGAAGAATCACAAAACCGTGTTCTGCAAGTACAGTTGGACGAGACGAACCGGGGAGAGATCGCTTTGGACCCCACCCCGGACACCAAGAGGATTGTAGCAATCGTTCAACCAACGGCTCCTTCCACTCGCCTGCCAGCCAACTACACCCTCAGCTTGAAACCAGGCCAGTAGGCTCAGTCCAAACTGGATAGACGGAGACTCGCATGAAATTCGGACTGTGCGTTATAGGTTGCGGGTCTTTCGCTCGCACGTTTTCCAACGCAATTCAGGGGGAGCTGGGTGAGATCGACCTGTATTTTGCCAGTCGTGACCCGGCGAGAGCAGACGCGTTCGCTGCTGAGTTTCGTGGAGCCGACAGCTTCGGCTCCTACCAGAGCGCCGTCTCAGACCCACGGGTGGAAGCCTTATACATCTGCACTCCCCACAACCTGCACCTGGAGCACACTAAGCTGGCCGCAGGCGCTGGAAAGCACATCCTCTTGGAAAAACCGCTGGCCCGCACAACAGAGGAAGCCAATGCAATCGTACGGACAGCCCGTGAGGCTAGCGTAACCTTGATGGTGGCCGAGAACTACAGGTTTATGCCCCCCGTATTGGCCGCCAGGAACATGGTCGACCGTGGCGACCTGGGATCGTTGCGCCTGATCCAGATGCAGGAGGACTATCCCTTCCAACCCACCGAATGGCGCAACGACGCGGAAATGAACGGAGGCGGGGTACTGATCGACGGCGGCATCCACAAGGCAAGTCTTCTTGCCTACCTGGCGGGAAATCCGTCCGAGGTGTACGCCGCAGAGGTCCCATCGGCGCAGCACGGCCTCGAAGCGGAGGATGGAGTGGTCGCAATGCTGCGTTACACCAGTGGTGTGGTCGGAATAATCAACCACAGTTGGAGCGCCGGACCCCATAGCGATCGCCCGTGGGCCACGATATCAGGTTCAAGGGCAAGTATTGCCTTCGAACTTGGGGGCGACTGGATTGATTCGATCGACGGTGCTGGCCGACGAAGAATGCAGCTTGACAACGATCGGGCAGGGCTCGCTGGAATGGTCCGCGAGTTCCGGCTCAGCGTCCAGGAGAACCGCCCGCCGGCGATGACTGGAGAGGAAGGAGCGCGCGACGTGGCGTTGGTCCAGGCCTGCTACGAATCAATGCGAACTGGAGCGCCCATTACATTCCCCCGATAGCCCACGCCTTGCCAGCCTTGATGTTCCCAAAAACAAAGCGCCGCATCGAATGATACGGCGCTCTCGCTCTTATTTGTCTACTGCAATTGGTCCAGGCCCAACCTGCACCGATTACAACAGCAGGTAGACTGGCTGCTAGGCAGCGGCAGCGGCCCCCACGGTCTCGATGATCAACCGGGTCACGGTGTAGGGGTCGCAGTTGGCGTTGGGGCGGCGGTCTTCAATGTAGCCCTTCCTGTCCCGGGCCACCTGCCAGGGAATACGAACCGAAGCGCCCCTGTCGGACACGCCGTAGCGGTACTCCCGGTAGGAACAGGTTTCGTGCAGACCGGTCAACCGCTCTTCAATTCGGTGCCCATAGTTGGCGATGTGCAGGTCGTGGCGCCCCTGCAAGGCCTCCGCCGCCGCGACGCAGGCGTCGAAGTCCTCCCGCATTCGATTGGTGGAAAAGTTGGTGTGGGCCCCGGCGCCGTTCCAATCGCCCTTCACAGGCTTGGGGTCAAGGGTCGCGCTGATGCCCTTGCGTCCGTCAACGGTCTCCACGTCCTCTCCGATGCGGTAGAGCAGCCAGCGGGCCAGCCACAGGTGATCGCCTACGGCAGGCGCGCCGATCGGGCCAATCTGAAACTCCCACTGCGCCGGCATGACCTCACCGTTGATGCCGGCAATCGCCAGTCCGGCCTCCAGGCAGGCGTCCATGTGCTTTTCCACCACGGGCCTGCCGAAAACCTCGTCGGAACCGACGCCACAATAGTAGCCGCCCTGGGGTGCGGGGAACCCGTTGTCCGGCCAGCCCAAAGGCTTGATGCCGTCAAAGAAAGTGTATTCCTGCTCAATTCCGAACCACCAGTCCAAGCCCGCATACTGTTGCGCCGCGGCGGCGCAGCCGGCCCTGGTGTTGGTCGGATGGGGCGACATGTCTGTGAGCAGCACTTCGCACATCACCAGCTTGTTGCCGCCGCCCCGCACCGGGTCCGGCACCACCAAAACCGGGTTAAGTACGCAGTCCGAGTTCTCGCCGGGCGCCTGGTTGGTGCTGGAGCCGTCAAATCCCCAAACCGGAGGAGCCTCCCCGTCGGGAACGATCTTGCCCTTGGACCGCAGCTTGGCCGTAGGCTGTTGCCCGTCGATCCAGATGTATTCCGCCTTGTAGCTCATATCACAACCCTCATCTACCAGATTTTGCTCTGAATTATACTTGAACTTAGCTGCGGTTTTGGAGTCATGATTCGCCGAACAACTGGCACTTACCCTTCGATCAGGTTTCTGTCCCGGTCGTATTCTCAGTGCCCTGTCGTTTGAATTACTCCTGTCCGATCATTCCCTGTCTTGGCGTCCCCGGCCTTGGCTTGGACAAAATAATCGCTCCGCGCTTTCAATTCACGCGGAGCGATCTGTTTCTTCTCTCAGATGCCCGCTTGGCTACGGGCGTAAGTGCAAACTACTTGTTGCGGATCAACTTCTTCGGGAGAACCACCCAGAGGGCGAACAGTCCAACAAATGCTCCGGCTGCGGCGATGGCTATCATTCTGTGAGTTCCTCCGAAATCGTTATGACCATAGTATCCGGCCAGGTTGTTACATGCCTTTTACGTCCTTGTTAAATATTTGTTACACATTCTCTCTGGGAAAAGCAATCGCCCCGCGCTGCTTAACAGCACAGGGCGATTAAAAACCCATATTGGCAGCCCCGAAAGGGGCCCAAGGATCTGGAACTTCTTATTTGCGCATCAGTTTCTTCGGGAGAACCACCCAGAGGGCGAACAGTCCAACAAATGCTCCGGCTGCGGCGATTGCTATCATTCTCAGGGATCCTCCGAAATCGTTATGACGCTAGTATCGCGCCAGGTTGTTACACGCTTTTTACGTACTTGTTAAATGTTTGTTACACGTTCTCTTGGGGAAAACAGATCGCCCCGCGCTGCTAAGCAGCGTGGGGCGATCAAAAGGCCCTTATTTGCGCCCCCAAAGGGGGCCTAGGGACCTGGAGTTCTTATTTGCGCATCAGTTTTTTGGGGAGAACCACCCAGAGGGCGAACAGTCCGACAAAGGCTCCAGCTGCGGCGATTGCTATCATTCTCAGGGATCCTCCGAAATCGTTATGACGATAGTATCGCGCCAGGTTGTTACACGCCTTTTACGTACTTGTTAAATGTTTGTAACTTCCCTACATCCGAGATCCCGCCCGCCAAACCGGCCTGGGACCTCCAGATGGAAGAGCACCAGCATCTGCACGAAAAGAAAACCCCACGCCTGGTCGGCGAGGAGTTGACAGTTGACCCGCCAGGGAATTACCCAAAACGTTTCCAGGATGCATCTACCAGTTACTTGTTCTTGAGAAACTTCCTGGGCAAGATCACCCAGAGAACGAACAGCCCCACGAAAGCGCCAGCGGCGATGATCGCTATCATCCCGAGCGTCCCTCCCAATCGACTATGAGCGAATTATCAAATTGCCGTGTTACGACCTTTTTTCATAATTGTTACCAAAATGTTACATCATCTGCTTGCCTGCAGTGAAGGCCGGGGGACCCTCGCTGCTACTATCCCGGCTATCGTCGACCCTGTCAGGCCCAGTGTCAGGCCCAGTGTCAGGTCCCCCAGGGTGTCGGTGTACGCCGTATCCAGCTCGGGCGATTGCCGGATGAAAGCATAGAATTCCGCAACCTCCCACAGGATGGCAGTGGCGGCTCCGAACGCCACCACGAATGCCACGATCTCTCCTGACCCGAGTCTATTTTTTCGGCACAATAGCCCAACCGCACCGGAAAGCAGCGCCCAGTTCACCAAGTGGTTGGCGTCATCCCACCACCACACGGCGTCGTAAAGGTCCAGCGCGTTCCCTGCCGTGTCAATGAAAAATGGCAGCGTCAGCAGAATATCACTGGCGTAGGGATAAGAGACATGCCGGTAACGTACCGCCCAGATTATGGGAATAACGAGCGTTGCGACAGGATAGGTCAACAACCGCCAGAAGAAGGCTTTGCCTTCGAACTGCTGCAGCCCCGAAAACGCCCCGAAGGCCAGAAGGCAGACCAGCGCAAGCTTGACTGCGATGTTCATCCAGAAGGCCGCCGGTCCACTGCCCATCCTCACCCCTTGCAAGTGCCCCTTGGCCCGCTTTTCCTATTATAGGGCCGAATGAAAGAAAGGAGGTGGCTCTTGTTCCCCGGGTAGAGAAGCTCAAGGTTTCCCCAGGTTGCTCGACCACAAGAGAATTAGAATGAAAAGGAATCGCCCCGCGCCGGGAGCGTCAATCCGGCACGGGGCGATACATGTATAAGGCGCAAAGTTCCCGAGTTCTGGGAACTCGGGCTTCGGAGGCTTATTTGCCGTTGCGGATGAATTTCCTCGGCATTACCACCCAGAGCGTGAACAGTCCCAAGAATACACCCGCAGCCGCCAAAGCAATCATTCTACCTGCCTCCACAACTATTCCAAACTTTGTAAGTGCAGTATGTAGCGCAGTTGTTACGCTGGGTTTTCAACTCCGTAAACTGTTTGTTACAGCAAGGAAAAAGAAAGGGCCGGAGCAAAACTCCGGCCCAACGCCTATCTATTTGGACTTGCGACCTGCGCGCTAATAATCGTATGCGGGCAGATCATGCTCCGCCAGGTCCATGCCTTGCAGTTCCTCCTCGCGCGTAGCGCGTACACCCATGGTGTACTTCAGCAGCAGGAACATCGCAAAGCCGGTGACCAGGGCCCATGCAAGCACCACGCCCATGCTGATTAGCTGAGAAACGATTTGCGTTCCGTTTCCTGCCACCAGGCCTTCCACGCCGTTATTGCCATTGGCGAATATTCCTACCGCAAGAATGCCCCAAAGACCGCAGGTACCATGCACCGAGATGGCGCCAACTGGATCATCGACCTTCAGAATATTCTCAATAGCCCAGACCGATCCCATCATGATGGGAGCCGCAATGACGCCGATCAAGACGGCGGACCAGGGCTCAACGAACGCCACAGGAGCGGTAACGCCAACGAGGCCGGCGAGCGCGCCGTTACAGGCCATAAGGATGTCGGCGCGGCCTGTGCGCACCAGCTGTATGTACAGTGCCACTACCGCACCGGCGGCACCGGCCAGCAGGGTGTTGACCGCATTCAGACCGATGGAGTCTCCGGTGTTGATGTTGAAACCGAACCATCCGAAAAACAGGATGAATGTCCCGATGATCACGAATGGGACGTTGTGGCCGGGAAGATGGTTGGGCCGGCCGTCTGCATTGAACTTGCCGGTACGGGCGCCAACCACCACTGCGCCAGCCAGGGCTATGAAGCCGCCCACCGCGTGCACCACGCCGGACCCGGCGTAGTCAGCTGCCGCCGGCAGTCCGATGCTTTCGAGGGAGCCGAGCCATCCGCCGCCCCAGACCCAGTGGCCGTAGAGCGGATAAATGACCGCACCGACTATGAAGCTGTATGCCAGGTAAGCCTGGGTCTTGGTCCGCTCAGCAACCGCGCCTGCCACAATGGTGGCTGCCGTTCCTGCGAATACCATCTGGAATACCCAGTCAACGTAGGTCTGCCCGTCGGCGGCATCTGTCAGGAAGAAGTTGGTCGTTCCGGCGATGCCTGCCGCTGATGTTCCCCACATCAACGCGAAGCCAAAAGCCCAGAAGGAAATCGACGCCATGGCGAAGTCCATGAAGCTCTTGGTCATGTAGTTTGTAACGTTCTTGGATCGTATCAGGCCAGCCCCGAGGAAAGCGAACCCAGCCTGCATGAAGAAGACTAGGAATGCTCCTACCATCCAGATTAGATTCGAGCCTTGGTCCAGATTGTCGGCGTCCGATGTGATGTCTTGGGCGAAAGCCACGTTGTAACCGGTGAGCAACGCCGCAGCAAAAAGCCCGGCTATTACGTAAGGCAGAAACCTGCGCAACACCACGGCATTCCTTGAATGGGGAGCCGTCTCAGCCAGCATCTCCTCTCTCCTATCGCCCAATACTGGGCCCCCAAGATTATCCAGCATCCGAATGTAATCCCCGCGTGTTACAGCTACGTTTCCGACATGTTACGTGGATATTTCCGTTATGTTAACAATTCGTTACTTTACAAATTCATATTCGTTTTAGCAACACTTTTTATTGGTATATTTTGCCAAAATAAACTCTAATTGAAAAATGGTGACGAAAAGAGCAGGCACGAGGCCTGCTCTCTAAAATTAGCCGCCGCTCTGAGGCTTTGAACAACAGGAACTACTTCTCGATAGGGGCCCCGACAATGCTGCCCCACTCGGTCCACGAGCCGTCGTAGTTGCGAACGTTCCCCATCCCCAGCAATTGGGTCAGAACGAACCAGGTGTGGGACGAGCGCTCACCGATGCGGCAGTAAGCGATCGTTTCCTGATTGCCATCAATGCCTTTCCCACCGTAGAGATCCCGCAGGGCATCGGCCGACTTGAAAGTCCCGTCCTCATCCACAGCCTGACCCCAGGGTATGTTGGCGGCACCGGGGATGTGTCCACCGCGCTGCGAGCCCTCCTGAGGCACATTGGCCGGCGCCAGCAGTTCGCCGCTGAATTCGGCAGGCGAGCGTACGTCCACCAGCGAGACGCTGCCGGAATTGACTAGCGACAGCACCTGGTCACGATAAGCCCGGATGCTTTGGTCACCCTCATTTGCAGTATAAGAAGTGGACGCAGGACTGGGAACATCGGTGGTCAGGGGCCGTCCCTCTGCCTCCCATTTGGCCCGGCCGCCATTCATCATCCGGACGTCCTTGTGCCCGTAATACTTGAGCTGCCAGAAGGCCCAGGCGGCGAACCAGTTATTGTTGTCTCCGTACAGAATTACCGTGGCATCGTTTCCGATGCCAGAGCCGCCCAGCAACTGCTCAATTTCCTCCTTGGATGCCAGGTCGCGACGTACCGACTGCTGCAACTGGGACTGCCAGTTCCAGCCAACGGCACCGGCGATATGTCCCTGTTCGTACGCATTGGTGTCGACATCTACCTCGACTAGCCGAATGTTGCTATCGGCGCCGTGCTCGGCAACCCACTCTGTGCTGACCAGAGACTCGGGATGAGCGTAATCTGCCATACTATGAACCCCTTCCAGTTTTTGAATCTAAATTGCTGCAATTCCGTTTCTGTTTCCGGTTAGACTTCGGTAACTTTTCCTTGGGTATTTTATCTTAATTCCCTGAACAGCCGCAGCCCCACACCCACGCTCGTTATGGTCCAAAGCTGGCTATCGAATAGCCGCGGTTGAGTTCAAATCCACAAGGTTATGTCATGACGTAAGTTAATTGCGAATTCATTTTGCAATTTCGAATACCCTTGGCTAATATAAGGTTAATAGTAACGTTGGCCCCCGGCGGGTAACGACCGGCCGGCAAGAGGATTTTATGGGAAGCAACCGGTGGCTTCGCAACAGCTTTGTCTATCTGATGATCATCGTCGGCGTGATTGTCATTTTCTACACGCTGATGCCTTTCGGGAGCACCGACGAGCAACCGGTTAGCAGGGTAATCGCCCTTGCCAAGGCCAATCAGCTCGAAAAGATCGAAGTAAACGGGGACAAGTTGACCGTTTACCGCACCGGCGGCGAGACATTCGATAGCAAGCTGGAAAAGGGCGATAGCATCACCTCGCTGCTGTTGGAGAGCGGGGTGGAGATCGGAGAGCCCGGCGTTGAAATTTACTCGAAGGGCTCCAGTGGGCTTTCAAGTTTATTCGGCCTGCTGCTCAATTTCCTGCCCCTGATTTTCTTCGGCGGCCTGATCCTGTTTATGATGCGCCAGGCCCAGGGCAGTAACAACCAGACCCTCAGCTTCGGTCGAAGCCGGGCACGTATGATGCCCTTCAACCGACCCACGGTAACCTTTGCCGACGTGGCCGGGGTAGAGGAAGCCAAGGTAGAGTTGCAGGAAATCGTTGAATTTCTGAAGTACCCGGAGCGCTTTCTGGCTCTCGGTGCCCGCATTCCCAAGGGAGTCCTGCTGGTGGGACCTCCCGGCACAGGCAAGACGCTTCTGGCCCGCGCCGTCGCAGGCGAGGCGGGGGTGCCTTTCTTCCACATCAGCGGCTCCGAGTTCGTTGAGATGTTCGTGGGCGTCGGTGCCGCCCGCGTTCGCGACCTGTTCGAGCAGGCCAAGCGCAACGCCCCCTGCATCGTGTTCGTCGATGAAATTGACGCAGTCGGTCGCCACCGCGGCGCAGGCTTGGGCGGCGGCCACGACGAGCGGGAGCAGACGCTCAACCAGATCCTGGTGGAGATGGACGGTTTCGAGACCAACACCAACATCATTGTCGTTGCGGCCACCAACCGCCCCGACATCCTCGACCCTGCCCTGCTGCGCCCAGGACGCTTCGACCGGCGGGTGACCCTGGATCTGCCCGACCTCCAGGGTCGAAAGGCCATCCTGAGGGTGCACGCCGCCGGCAAGCCCCTCGCACCTGAGGTCACGTTGGAAACCGTGGCCAAGGAGACCCCGGGCTTCAGCGGCGCCGACTTGTCCAACCTCGTCAACGAAGCCGCAATCCTGGCGGCACGAGGGAACAAGAAGTCCATTTTCATGTCCGAGTTCGAAGAGGCGGTAGACCGCATCATCGCCGGCCCCGAGCGCAAGAGTCGCCTCATCAGCCGTCGCGAAAAGGAAATGACTGCCTACCACGAGGCGGGTCACGCCCTTGTGGCATGGGCTCTGCCTCACGCCGACCGGGTGCACAAGATCTCCATCGTGTCCCGCGGTTCTATGGGAGGGCACACCTCCCTCTTGCCAGATGAGGACCGCTATCTCTGGACCAAGAACCAGTTCAGCGACATGATGGCCGTAACCATGGGTGGCCGCGCCGCCGAGGAGCAGATCTTCGACGAGGTTACCACCGGGGCCAGCAACGACATCGAACGCGCCACGAAAATAGCTCTGGGCATGATAAAGCGGTATGGAATGAGCAAGTCCCTGGGCCCTCGCACCTTCGGAAAGCGCGAGGAGATGATATTCCTCGGCAGGGAAATCAGCGAGGAGCGGGATTACGGCGACAAAGTTGCGGAGCAAATTGACGAAGAAGTCAAAATGCTCATTAACCTGGCATACACCAATGCTAATGATCTCCTGATTACACACAAGCCGAAGTTGGTGACGCTGGCCGAGTACCTCATCGAACACGAGACGGTATCGGGCGAGGCCCTGAACCACCTGTTCAACGATGAACCAGGAAGCGAGCCTGAAGGCGTTCCCGCGGTGCCCCCGGAACCGCAGCCCTATCCGTCGCCTCGCCCCCAACCGACAATTCAGCCTCGACCCGCACCCACCCTGCCGTCAACCAGCGGCCAGGACGGCCCAACCGAGGAGTTGCTGCGCTAGCAGGCTATCTGATTCGGCATGAAATTCAAAAGGGCGGGATAGATTCCCGCCCTTTTCTTGGGCCACCCCGGGCGCCCTGTTGTTCAGCGTCGCCACGTAGCTAGTCTCTCGCCTCCGAATCCTGGATAGCGGGCAGCTGCCGGTAGTAAAGACCCCACTGCTTCATCAAGTCCTCCACCGCAGGGTTCTTCAGGGCCACCAGCTCGCGGAAGAAGCCCGCAAGGGCATGCGCTGGCATATGCTCGGCGGTGCACACCCAGCTACGCTCCGCGGGCACCACGTATATCAGGCCCCTCTGGTGCTCGCACACTGCCTCAATGCGGGTCATGTCCTCGCTTGACTTTACCTCAAGGCCGGCTGGGGTGGTCATTGCTTCACGTCCTTTTGACAGAGATTGGTTTGCCGAAAAATTCTCGTCGCAACCCGAAAATGAACATCTCAAGGCCAATACAGCGCCGATAATGTGCCATTATATCGCCGAATCCGCCGACGCATGATAGTCGTATAGTACGGGCGGTGTTATTATCTAATGTGGGTCGTGCCGGACATAGCGGCGCGGCAAGGAATTGTCGAGCATGTACCAACCCGGAGGGCAACCCCCCAGACAACCCGAGTTGAATTTCGACCAGCTGCTGTCGGGATTCGGCGCCACAGTTCGTCGAATAACCGGCCGGTTGGGTGGCGGCGGAGTGGGCCTGGCCGCCGTCCTGATAGCCGGACTGATCGTCATCATTTGGGCAGCCACCGGCATCTACACCGTCAGCCCCGGCGAACAGGCCGCCCTGAGGCTGTTCGGTGCCGCTCAGCAGACAACTGTTACCCAGACCGGTCTGCACTGGTGGTGGCCGTCGCCTGTGGGTAACCGCGACGTAGTCCAGACCGTGGAGACCCGCCGGATGGAGCTGGGATTCCGCAGCGGAGAAGGCGGAACTCTCACCTCGGTCCCCATTGAAGCCCAGATGATCAGTGGCGACCTGAACATCATCGACGTTCAGATGGTCGTCCAATACAACATCAGGAACCTCAACAACTACCTGTTCCGCGTGTTCGACCCCGGTGAAAATGACGGGGCCCAGCGGAATATCCCCCCCGGAAGGCCCGACGGCCGTACGCTGAAGGACGCCACCGAAGCTGCCCTTCGCCTTGTGGTTGGTCAGCGTGGATTGGGTGAGGTACTCGCCGAGCAACGCACCCAGTTGGAGGTCTCTACCCAGGAAAAGCTCCAGGAGATCCTCGACAGCTACGAGGCAGGACTGAACATCATCAGCGTGGAGCTCCAGAAAGTGGAAGCCCCCGAGGACGTGAGGGCCGCATTTAACGATGTGCTGCAGGCCAGGCAGGACAAGGTGACTGCAACCAACCTGGCTCAGGCCTACGAGAACCAGGTTATACCCGAGGCAAGGGGTCGCTCAGAACAGATCATCCAGCCCGCAGAGGCCTTCAAACGCGCCCGTATCGAGAGGGCGCAGGGTGAAGCCGACCAGTTCATTTCCATTCTGAAGCAGTATTCCGACCGATCGATCAAGCTTACCAACACCTTGCAGGACTCCGACGACGCCGATGGCGACAACGACCCCACCACGGGCATCGGTCTTGAGGACGTGGAAGTCATCGATGGCGACGGGCTGTTCATTTCTGACCTGTTGGTGGTGGGAGCGCCCGATTGCGCCTTCACCGCCCGTCAGGCGTCAGCCTTGGAGAACGCCACGCAGGTATGCGGGTTCACTGTTTCCGTCGACTCTGAGAACGACAGCGTCTTGAGTGGCACAAGGGCCACCGTCGCCTACTTGGGAAATGAGGACCTGACGGTTCCGCAGTTCGCCGCAACGGGCAGCGTCAGCATCCGGCTGTCCAATTCCGTGCTGGACCACGACAACAGGGACGGGGACGACGACCCGACTACTGGGATCACCGCCGCCGACATCGTCGTGGTGGACGGACCTGACGGTGGTGCCGTCAGCGGGATAGACCTGACACCGGCTACCTTCGATTCGGGGACGAACATACTCACGTTGACTGTGCAGACGGGCGAAACCCTGCAGCCAGGGGACTCCTTTACGATCCAGTACCTCAACGGGGAGACCCTGACCATTACGCCCAACAGCAGGGTGACACAGGAGCGCCTGTATTTGGAGGCCATCGAAGAGATTCTCCCGTCCGTTAACAAGATAATCGTTTCACCGGAAGCCGAATCGGTCCTGATCCTCGGTGGCCAGAATGGCGTGGTCCCAGTCCCGTTGGGACCCCAACCCCAGCCCTAACTTTCGGCCACGGAAAAGCATCGCCGACGCTCGCTCCGTAGTTACTTGAGGTCAAGCGTCGGTAAGAGCAGAAGAACTTTGAACGCTGGTGGTCCGTCACCGGAGCCGCCGGTGCTAATCGGAAAATAGGCAACAGTTAAGGGGTACCAATGAGAAACCTGGTTATAGCGGGCGTGGTGATCCTGGTGATCATAATTACGCTGTTCACCTCGCTGTACGTCGTCGATGAAACTGAGCAGGTCGTGGTCACCCGGTTCGGTGACGTCCGCGCTGTGCAAACGTCACCCGGCCTCTACCTGAAGGCGCCGTTCGGCGTGGACAGCGTCATCTCCTACGACAAGCGGGTATTGCGTATTGATGCGCAGCCGGGACCTTTCCTCGATAAGGACATCAATATCCTGGAGATCGATGTTTACGCCCGCTACGTGATCACCGACCCTCACTTGTTCCTGCAGACCTTGACCACCCAGGACAACGCCTCACAGGTGCTGGGCCAGCGGATCAACGCGGCCCTCCGTGCTGAAATTGCCGAACGAAGCCGCGAAGAAATCATTGGCGGCGACGTGGCACTTGACGAGTTGGGCAACCCGGTTACCGATGTCGAGGGTAACGCCCTGGTTAATCCCACAAACAGCAGGACCGAGATTCTCGACGATGTTCTGGCGGCTGTGCAGCAGGACCTGAGTTCCGAGCAGCCCGGTTTCGGCGTAGCAATGATCGACATCCGCATTAAGCGCGCTGACTTCCCCAATGAGGTTGCCGGCAGGATCTTTGAGCGGATGCGCTCCGACCGGGAAAAGATAGCCCGCCGCCTGCGGGCGGAAGGTGAAGAGGAAGCTCGAACCCGCCGCGCCGCCGCCGACCGCGATGTGGAAATCATTCTGGCCAAGGCCGACCGCGATGCCGCGCGCCTTCGCGGTGAAGGCGAGGCATCTGCAATCTCCATCCTTGCGGATGCCCTGAACCGCGACCCCGACTTCTTTACTTTCCAGCGCAGTCTGCAAGCCTACAAGCAATTCCTCAGCACCCAGTCAACTATGATATTGTCCTCGGATTCCGAACTGTTCCGCTTCCTCCAGAGTTCCGGAGAACTCGTGCCTCCATCTGGAAGCAACAGGTAACACAGTTCGGAACAGCCAACTGGCGTAGAGCAAAAAGGGGCAGGTCTCTAGACCTGCCCCTTAAACTGTTCTTCGAACCCATCGCTCCGGTGAGCCATTACCGGCCGGAGACGAGTCGACCCGTTCAGCTCACTGGCTTCATCCGTCTATCGGCCAGCTAGCCGCCGGCCCTCCTCCAGCCCATGCGTCGTCTTTTCCGGAGAGGTGATGATGATTCTGAAACCCTGCTCCAGGCGCATCGGCACCTCCGCGGCGGTTGCCCCGGTGGCGCAGGGTACTCCGGCCTCCTTGCATGTCTCGAGGATTCGAAGCAGGTTCGCCTGCACCTCTGGATGACCCGCGTTGCCCTTGTGTCCCATGGACACCGACATGTCTCCCGGGCCTGCCCAGACTGCTCCGATGCCCTTGACCTCCCGAAGAATGTCCTTCAGGTTCTCCACGCCGTGCGGCTCCTCGACAATTCCGATAAGCAGCATGTTGCCGTCGGGGTCCAACGGCCACAGGTCGGCCGCATCGTAGTACTCCGCGGGCGTAAGGCCCCAGTACCGAGGCGCGATACGATACCACCACCCGCGCTCCCCCTCCGGCTCAAAATCAGCAGACCCGGGTACCTGAGGGTACCGTGCCGCTATCACCGCGGCCTGGGCATCCTCCACGGTGTTCAGGTGCGGCAGCACCAGGCCGTATACACCGGTATCAAGCGCCTGCTTCAGCACCCACTGATTGCGTTCCCGGAAATTGGGCGGCACCCGGACAAACGGCACCGGGTCGGCCTGCAGCGTGCCTCCCTCCGAGATTTTCTTGCGCGAAAGCAGGAACTGCAGCGACATCCGCAGCTTGTCGAAGCTGAAGTCCTGGTGTTCCATCTCAACTATGGTCATGTCATAGTCTGAGTCCGCGACAAATGCGATGTCATCCAAGTTCCCATTCCACACCAACCCTGAGCAGAACACAGGCTTGCCCTGTTCCAACAGTTCAATCACTTTGTTGTAACGGACCATACATCCTCCTTCCGTATCGCATTTCCGTAAATTAATAGGGCAGTTCGCGTTGGTCGCGACGGCGATTATGATTTGGGCCGGTTCAATTGTCCATCAATAGCACCTCTGCGCCGTGTCCTGGCAAGACGTCAAACAGGTAAGCATTTTGGAGCATTCCAATTCAGGGGGTGAGCCTGCCTGCGATCCATCATCCCTGAGACAATCCTGTCCTCGACCCCATCGGGAGAACATCACACTCGCGAAGGCGTCGGAGGGCGGGAATCCAGGCCGTACACCAATGACGTCCAAGGGCGCTGGCCCTGGGTCGCTAGTGTTACGTCAGTGTGGTATTGATGGGTATAGGACTTTAGTCTGATACGGGCATCCGGCGGGCATCCGCGGGGTTGTGAAGCGCAGTTCACTCGTAGGCCGTGGTCACACGGTTGCGCTGAAGCCTGCCGCCACGCTGCTGGCCCTCCTATACCCTCCGCAGGACGCTCCGGTCCGGAGATGCGGCGGTCGAATGCATGCCGGGCATCACGCGATCTCGATCATCTCTCTGCTGCCATATGTTCAGCCACCTGCGATGCGTGAAGGTGTGTAATGCTCTCCCTCCAGCCGCTCCGCGATGCGCCGCGCCTCCGCCGCCTCACAGGCCTCGTGACAGTGATGACGGATTGATGCGTATCAGGTCAGATTGTCCACACACCAGCACTAGACCGCTCTTGTCAGACATAGTCCTCGTCCACCAGTTTCGCACCACAAATCGGCCCATCTCTCCGGGTGCGGCGCTCTGTAACCTCCACCCGACGCCATCCCTCCAAGGCGGAACACATGAAAAGGTTGCTCACACCGTTGCGTTCGTATTCATAGTCATAAGAAGCTGCCGCTCCGGGGCGGGGGACGGCCCAGCCGTCTCCTTCACTGCTGTTTACTGTCTCGTCCAAGCAACCAGGACCTTCGTTTGTGTCCCCGGTATTGGCGGTGATAGACCTCCAGCACATCCTCCATGGCGCAACAACAGACGGCACTGCATTCGGCGGGATGCACCACATTCTTCAACCAAGCTTTGAGTTCGTTTCAGCGATCTGGCGCACCGTTCGTGCTGATGCTGTCCACTATCTCGCATTCAACCATTGATCCGCCAGCAGTTGCAGGGTCCGCCGCACGGCCCTCCGGCGGTTGGAACAGGTCAAGGCAATCAGGTGAGCCTCCCCCTCACCGTCCATCTTCCGCCGCCGCCGGTTGAGCTGTTGCCTGCGCCCCAAGGCTGCCTCCAGACCCTCCTCAACGCAACGGCGGCGCACCCGCTCCACCGTGGCGGTGCCCACCTTCAGGCCTGAGCAATCTCCTCGTCCCTCATGCCGCCGTCAGCCTGATTTCGTCACAAAGCAGCAGGATGCGGGCATGGGTCTGCTTATAGGCTGCCGCCCGTCCCTTGGACACCAGCGCCATCAGCTCCTGTTGCTCCTCCTCCGCCAGCCCTACCCTGTACCTCTCACCATCATCCACGTCCCAAAACTTCCCCTTAGCACCACCGCCATTATGGTACCCCATACAATCAGTTACAATGAGGTCCCCGCTACTAGTTAGGTCTTCCAGGGTCATTGTAGGGTAGGAGGTTCTTGTGCAGTTGGTGATTATAGATGGATTGTTTGGACAGTGTGGGCGGTGGTTTATCACCTGCCACTTTCATACCCGACTGCGGGGTGTCTGAACCAAGCAGTACGTGAGTGGAATGCAGTAGGTGTTATTCACCTCTCATTGATGATGTAAAAACCAGTGCGATATAATTTACATATCAGTGATATCATGGCTTTATCTGGTTTTTAGTCAGTCAATGGTTTGTGTTTAATTTATTTGTGCATACACTCATCTCTGTGCTGCCATCCGCGCTGCCAACCCTGGAAATCCCAGCCAACAGGATCGTGGACATGGACAACCACCGCCCCCGCTCTGCCCACTCGCCGGACGACGTTTTCGGACACCGGCCCGCCCCCTCTCCTGGGCGCAACTTGATGCGCCGCCTGCCGTCCGTCAGCCTGCGGTTGCCGGTTGTCATCCTGGTGTTTGCGGCAGCCCTGATTTTCATCCCCTTCATCCAAGGGCCCACTAAGCAGCGTGTCTCCGCCCACGGGGGTGGCGACAAGTTCTACGTCGAATGCCTGTACTCCCAGGTGCGGGAGGGCTGGTCCGCCACTGCCTACTACCATCGGGTCACCAATCACGAAAATCACAAGAATAACGCCTTCTACACCAGGTGGAACACCAGGACCGGCACAGCACAGCTCGATGACTTCGAGTACTTGGTCAACGTCTACGATAACGAGCCCTACCCGTTCTCCGTCGCTAACTTTATTGTCAGGTACGTCGAAACCACCGATGACGATGAGGTTGAGGACAACGAGACCTTCCGCATAAGGGTGCCGGAAGACGACACCATCCTGGACATGGACGACGCCGCCAAGGATAACGAGTGCGTCGTCACCATCGTTGACGACGATCCCCACGTGACCGCTGTCGAGATCCTCTCCTCCCCCGTGCAGGGAGATACCTACGGCCTGAACGAGACCATACGGCTCGCCGCCCACTTCAACCGTGAGGTGATCGTGGATGGCAACCTCAGGATGGGCTTCACCATCGGCAGCACCTGGAAGGGAGCTCCCTACGCGAGCGGCTCCGGCACCAAGATACTGGTGTTCGAACATACCGTGGTCGCCAGCGACTCGGATACCGACGGCATACACCTGAGCCGGGGTTATACCGACAGTGAGGGAAACCGGCACGGGCTCGTGTCGGGTAAGGCGTTGGACAAGGTGGAAACCGATACCAGGTCGTTCCATCTCTATGCTGGTACCTCTGCCCGATCGGGCCACAAGGTGGACGGTTCCTATGAGGCCCCGCTCACCCTGCTGGAAGCTTCCACGAATACCGCGGGAAGCAAGGTCATTCTGACCTTCAACCGGGACATCGAAATACCGTCGCTCCTGCAGACACTCAGCGACTCTCTGGACATTGACCTGGGGACGGTTCTACGCCGCCGTCTTCGACGTCTATGCCGGGGGCAACGGGACCCGGCCAGTGGACTCCAGGAACGCCTCAAAGATGGGGCCAAACTCACCATTGACATCCAGTCCGCTCACTACATCTCGTCAGCGGATCAGGTGAACGTCGCCTACAACAACATCTTTGCCGAAGACTCTGAGGGCATGTTCCTGGATTCGGCTGACAATATCCTGGAGAATTTCGAACCGTTCTCCGTCAACAATGTGTCGACTCATTTCGGTACGACCTTCCAGAGCAACAAGGTGTCTGGCCCCACTGATCTCACCATAGATGAGGGTTCCAGCGCCACATACAGCGTGGGAATCGACTACTATCCCGGCTCTTCCATCAACCGGGTGAGGTTCTCTGTCTACCCGGCGGGTGCTCTCACCCTGAGCAGTAACTCGGTCTCGTTCAACCAGTTCAACTGGCAGGACACCAAGTCCATCACCGTGACTCCAAACCCGTCTGAGGATGACGATAGCGTGAATACGTGGGCCCGGCTCACGGCCACCAGCAGCGCCGCCTTCACGGAGACGCTCAGGACCCGCGTTCTCATTGAGGACGACGACTAGATCTGGGTTATATCGGGGTTGGCAGGGGTTGCGGCGACCTTAACTGGCCTGCTGTCCCGTGGTCCGCTCTGGTGCGGTGTCTCGGCCCTGGGGTCTCTTCAACGACCCCGTTCTTCACACTCTCGGAAACGAGGCCACTGTTGCCAACGGCCTGGTCTTGAGTATCATCTGAGCGATGGAACGGTTGACTTCACGCTCTATCTCGGCGAATCCGGTCCGAAAGGTCGTCGGCTGGATCTGGTCCGACGGGTTCAGCTCGGAGGAACTCCGGTACGGAGCCATCATCTCGGTATGGGTGAGGTGGTTCTGGGTCATCGGTGGGCTGATAGAAATCAACTACCCGGCCGGATACCAGGACCGCTACTACGCCCTCAACACCCTGTACGTTCTGACGCCGGGACTGATCAACGCCTGCGTCTTCTACCGGATCCGCTCCGGGGGCGCCGTGTCGGCGCGGTGGCTGCTCGCGCTGTCGGCGCTGGACGTGTTCATCACGTCGTTCAGCCTGGCCATGTCCGGCGGGTTTGAGAGCCACTTCTACCCGGTGTACCTGATGGTGCTGGCCATGTTCGCGGTGGTGTTCACCTCCGTCAGACTGGCCGTCGTGTGGACCACCCTTGTGGCAGCCGTCTACGCAACCCTGTGTTGGACCGTGGGAGCTGGGCTGGACCTGGGGGCCAACGATGAGAAGCTCGTACTCACCCGGATATTGATGATGTACGGGGTCGCCTGCGCGGTCAGCCTGGTGGCCCGGTTCGAGCGCATCCAGCGCCGGGAGGTAGTGGCCCGTGAGCAGCTCCTGCAGCGGGAGCGTATTGCGCTCTCGCATACAATCCATGACACCGTGGGCCAGTCGGCCTACATGATCGGCATCGGCATAGACAACGCGGTGGAGCTGGCGGGTTCGGCCAACCCGGAACTGGCCCGCAGCCTGGAGGGAACCGGTAAGCTTGCGCGGTCGGCGATGTGGTCGCTCAGGCACCCGATCGACATTGGTGTGATCTTCGATGGCCAGGGGTTGGGCACGACGCTCAGCTCCCACGCTGCAACCTTCACGGCCATCACGTCGATACCGGCGGAGGTCACGGAGTTGGGGAATGAACCGCCGCTTTCAGTTGGCACGAAGAGTCTGCTCTTCTCCATCGCTCACAACGCCATGACCAACGTGTTCCGCCATGCTGAGGCGGGCCGGGTTGAAATCAGGTTGGACTTCGAGTCGGACCATTTGAGGCTCTGGGTAAGCGACGATGGGAAGGGGCTGCCGGATGACTACGCCCGTCGTGGTCACGGCTTTGGCAACATGCGGGCGGACGCAGAACGCCTGGGCGGGAGTCTGTGCGTGATGGACAACCAGGGTGGCCAGGGTACCACGGTGATGTGTCTGGTTCCCTTTGAACCAAGTCAAGGAGGCTTCTGATATGGCGGGTTCGCCGACGGTCAGGGTGATGCTGGTGGACGATCATGAGATAGTCCTCGAGGGCTTGCGGGATGTTCTCGTGGGCGCGGGTGATTTCGAGGTGGTGGGGCAGGCTTCCGACGGGCAGATGGCGGTTGAAATGGCCTCTGATCTGCACCCTGACGTGGTGGTTATGGACCTGATCATGCCGGTGAAAAACGGCATCGACTCATGCCGGGAGATCATGGACGAGCTGCCTAACACCCGGGTGCTGGTGCTTACGATGTCCACCGAGCAGGACGCGGTGGTGGACTCGCTGGCCGCCGGTGCGACCGGATACCTGCAGAAGGTGTGCGGGAGACAGGAGTTCCTGTCTGCGGTGCGCGGCGTGGCGGCCGGTGAGTACCGTATTCCGAATGACGCCCTGCGGCGGGTGTTGGCCGGCGTCCGCTCGGCTCCCAGGCCGTCGGGTGGTTCGACGCTGGACAGCATCACGGTTCGGGAGAGGGAGATGCTGGCACTCTTCGCCCGGGGTCGGAGCTATGCTCAGATAGGGGAGGCCCGTGGCATCCGCCCCGTAACGGTGCGAAACGCCATATACAGCATCCAGCGCAAGCTGGGGTTTGCGAACAAGCAGGAGCTGGTGTTCTGGGCGGTCCAGAACGGTCTGGTAGACGGGGGTTCTGAGGCGCCGTAGCGGGGGGTCGTGATGGCGGTCAGTGCCACGTCTTCGTTGTCCGAGTCGGTGCTCGATCCCTGAGGTTCTTTATGCCAGGAGATTCATTTTGCCGGAGGAGGCCGGAAGCGGACTCACCCCGCACAGCGAGGCGAAGGCGGCCTTGGAGTGAATGCGTTGAAGGTTGCTGCCGGCGGAGATCAGCAGAGCAGCCGCAGTGTCGGGTCCTACCTCGAAGATGCTAACCAATGCTGGGGCTGCCCTCCGGGTGAGTCGTTCCAGCTCGGCCTGCAGATCTCGGATCTCCCTATCGAGTCGAAGGTAGCGACAGGCAAGAGACCGAAGGGTGTACTTGGCCGCCGCCACGGGATCCTCGAGGCGACCCGGACGAAAGCTCTTGCAGCGCGCTAGTATTACAACGTCAGTTCAGGGGGGATGTGGGATGATGC